CTATTTATAGTTTGTGCCGGTTTCCGAAGCCATCCATTGGTACAAAATATCATGGGTTGTATATTGTGCTTTCAAGTGAAATTTCGTGTTGTGACGTGGTTTCTCGTTGGAATTTAAATCGATTTGATTGGCTACCTCAGATGACCTCAAAATTATTAGCCAATCAAAACCTTCTCATTGAAATTCAACCAATCAGATCGATTGTGGATCGGTTTGGTCGGCGCGATTCGATTGCACCGCCTCCCCAAATTTGTATCAAATCGACAATTCACGTGATAACATTATTTACAGCGTTTCAACCTGTATTGAAATAGTGTACGCTGGCCAACCAGGATTGAGGATTTTTCCGGATCACGATGAAGAAGGCCAAGGTGACGACCGCCTCAGCACATGGCATCACGCTTCCGCCGGATGCGGTTCAGCGCGTCGCGTTGTTCATACCAGACGCAGTAGACTTCTTCAACTACCTGGATGCATTCCAAGGCACATCGACATCTCTGGGGCACCTTCAGCATCTGTGGACGGCGTCCTTCCACGCGCCGTTCCACATGCTGTGGCCGGAATTGCATCTCGATCAAGTGAGCGCGTTCAGGGTTGCGAGCCTCCAGCCCGACCGATCGTACTTTCAACGAATACACGTCCACGCTGTCTTCGACTTGGACATCCTGCGTGGCTGTGTTGCCACCACGAACGTGCTGGCCCTCTACACGTGCCCTCTGGCCAACGAAGTCGACGTGCCGCTTCAGGCTTGGTACCGCCAGCTTGCAACTCTCCCCATTGGCCATCTGACATGGCTACAAGGTCGACTTGTCGGGCGTCCTCAATCGATGAACCATCTGCTAGAGGTGCTGCCACTGATGACCTACCTAACATCCCTCGACCTGAGCCATGCCTGCGTGTCATCCCCCGATAATCTACTGGCATTCATCCGCGACTCCAAGCTCACACAGCTGTGTCTTCAAGACGTGTCGACTCTTGATCCTGTGACGTCCGAGCCGTCAAACCACCCGACCACCATGTCCCCACAAGGACTCTCGTCCCTCACCCACTGGCTAGCCACCCAACCCGTGACCAGATTTGGCCTGAGCAATTGGATACTTCCATCCAACCCCAAGGTCCTTTCCCACTTCTACCGTGCGTTATGGACGTGTCCAACTCTTCGATCGCTTTCTGCCCACAACCAGCCCCTTCCCCGCTTGGAAAACTTTGAGTGCTCGGTGCCATTAGCATTACGGCAACTCAGTTTGACACGATGCGATCTCGGTAGCGAAGACGTCAGGGCGTTGGCTATTGCCCTGCGTAACTCCACCGTCACGTGGTTGAATTTGTCGGACAATCCGCAAATTGGACCGGGTGGAACTCACGCTTTAGCTGCCGTCAGTCTTCGCATGTCTGTTGTCACCACACTCTTGCTGAACAACGTGGGTATGGGGTCCCTCGGCTGCAGTTTTTTGGCCCACTTCTTAGGAGACACAGTTGTCACGGAACTGTCTGTTGACTCGAATGACATTGACGACGGTGGTGTGCTCTTTCTCGGGTATGTTATGCGAATGACTCCGCGATTGCGGTCGCTGTCGATGCGCCGCAATGATATCTCCATTTCTGGGGCGGCGAACTTTCTTCATTCCCTGGAACAGCGACAGCAAGATGGTGATCAAGCCCCCCTTGTGATTGACTTGGACCACAACCCCATCGACGACGCGGACCAAGACTCTTTGAACGCGATGGCGTCGGAGCAACTTCCCCCCGACGCTGTCTTTTCATGCGTGTCGGACTTCAACCCAATGTGGTAGCTGGTTTTGGCACTGAAATCCCCAGTATAATTCAGCATCGTTCAAAGTTCCATGCTTCGTCGGAGTTATCCTCCGTGTAATGTAGAGTACTACTCAAGTTCTGCATTTCAGCAAAATAAAACAACCCTATGTATTGTCGATTTGATACAAATTTGGGGAGGGTGCAGTCGAATCGCGCCGAGCAAACCGATCCACAAACGATCTGATTGGTTGAATTTCATTGAGAAGGTTTTGATTGGCTAGTAATTTTGAGCTCATCTGAAGTAGCCAATCAAATCGATTTAAATACCAACGAGAAACCACGCCACAACACGAAATTTCACTCGAAAGCACAATATAACGTTAACTGTTAGTTTATTTCAGTCGAGGAAAATGACGAACGTAGCCATCGTTGGCGACATAAGCGAGGATAAACGTATGTCTAGACGAAGGAGTCGAGTTGATTTTGTATTCTATTCCGCTGTTTAAAACGTATACGTAGTATGTATGGACTTCAAATTTTGGCCGCCAGTTTTACGATGCTTTTTGGAAAAGTACCCACTACATTCCACGAGTCCACGAGAATACCGCTACGTATTTTTAAATAAGTATGTCGTAATTTAAGAAGATAACATCGAAATATAGCATCAAGTTAACAAACTAGTAAGTTAATATCAATGTTTGTCATAATTTATGACAATGTTAACTATCGAGAAAGTACATAACTTTGTCGTTGAATTGCTCAGCAACGACTTGTCTGGGTGTGATATAATTAATTTGAAAACTGATGAAATGACTGCGGGCTATATAACGAGACGTGATGTGTGGCGATTGCACTTATTTAGCACGCGTGATGTGACCTCAAACATGCCAAAAAACTGAAAAATAGCTTACTTTGGGTGTGATTATATCCCACAATAAGCATCGTAACACCGTCCATGCCGCTTTATTACGTAGTATCAATGCTGCTGTACATGCTACCATGTTCTTGCGTTGATCGGTGATCTCTGAGCCACGAAGCAGCACATTAAAGACGCATTTTGGCGAAAACTTCAAATATAGCGTGGTTGCAATCGTCATAATAAGTCATATTTGAAGCATTGTTCTGTATTATTATGTTAATTGGTTTTACAGTTAAATTTTCTCACAATTCAATGTCAAGTCCATTAAAATACCGAACAGTTTTGAGCTGAAGCTACTACACCATGCGTTCCAGGTCGTTGCGCCTTGTCGAAAGGCCAATCGAAAGTCCGCAGCCCCTAGTGTGTCTATCAGGTATGATAAGACCTAGTGCGATCGAGCTGCTTGGTATGCTGGCTCGATGTTTTGGTCATTTCCCGCACCCACCTGAAGCAATTTCAACGTCTCTTTCCAAAAATATTTCTTTAGAATACACTTGAAATGGGTTGCATTGACGTGATGAATAGCCATGGTGAGCGGAAGATGTGTCGATGGAAATCAACACGCAAAAAGTTAGTAGGTGCCTAGTATCTACTAAAATTCTGATCCGGCTTCACTGATTGGCTATAATTACCTTGAACACATCGTTTATTGGATGGCCACGGTTCATAAATTCATCAAGCGACTTGCCTAAAGCAGGAACTTCTCCATCGAATTTCATGCATTTTTTACTCAAAATTGGAGTAAATCAGTGCAAATTGAAGATAAGATCATGGTCTTTCTTCCTACGACTACCGGTAGTTTCGAAAATGCCAAATTCGGAATATTTCATATTTATATTACAGTTTGTATGACCCTGGTATCCCAAAAGGCCCATAGAAATAGTATCGTTATTGTATTCTGATACTACTATGTTAGTAGTACTTTTAAAAACAATGGATAAAACCCTGGAATTGCCAAAAAAGGTGAAAAGCACATGTCACTCATATCACAACGAACCCAATTAATATGGCCAATCATTCCACTTGAATTGGATTGTGAAACTTTTCATTGGCCCAGGTCATTCGCCAACATGCCACGGCGCCGACGGCGGCTGTATGACGACGGCGGCGTGCCGCAGCTTCCCCCGGAGCTAATCCAGCGCATCGCACTGTATGTCCCGGAGACTGCGAACTTCTTCTGCTACCTCGAGGCTTTTCATAAGGTGCCACTGCTGCTGGGAAACTTATGGTACCTGTGGCACCTCAGCCAAGAACAGCCCGACCTCGACGACCTGTGGCCCGAGCTGCACGTCCACAGCTTGACGTCGTCAAATCTGGCGTCAATCCAGGCCATGGCGCATGTGTTTTCCGTGATTCACTTCCACGAGACGTTTGATGTCGGGTTGCTGCAGCACTGTGTCTCGTCAACATGCGCCTTCACCATTCGTCTCACAACCACTGATGCCGATCACATTCTGGAACCAGTCGAGGAATGGTACGCTCAATTGTCCCGCCTGCCGATCTCGGAGCTGCGGTGGGAACGAGCCAGTGATCCCGATCACCGCCACATTGCGGCGCTGGTGTCATCGATGCCTTCCATGCCGTCGTTGCACTGCCTGGACCTGAGATTACCACCTTCCATGATCGAGCCCCTATTGCGCTATGTTGCGACATCGTCCCTTGTCGATCTCAGCTTGCAGGCCCAGGCGCTGCAAACAGACAGCGGCGTATCTTTGACCCCCACGGACATTCAGAGTCTGACCCACTGGCTTCAAAGCCAGCCCGTGCACAACCTGTACCTCGAAGGATGGAGTGCGTGGCACGTTCCTGAGACCATCATGGCCCAGTTTTACACTGCTCTATGGTCCAACCAGTCATTGTGGGCACTCGGCCTCCACTCGGTGCCGCTGCCCCATCTGGACGACTTCACCTTCGCATCGCCAGTGCACGTCCATTCGCTCGTCTTGCAAGGGTGCGACCTCGGACCTGCCGACATGAAAGCGCTTTCGCAAGGATTGCATCTGTCGTCGGTCACAGAACTGGACTTGACTGGCAACCCGCTCGAGTACACTGGCATCGACGCCCTTGCCAGCGTCCTTCCACACACCAAGATCGAAACACTCAAACTCATGCTCACTCAAACTGGCGACCGCGGCTGCGCTGCGCTCGCCGTCGCGCTCCCGCTGTCGTGCGTGGTGGACCTGGACCTGTCGATGAACCTCATCTCGTCCGTCGGCGCCACGGATTTGGCCCACGGGCTGTCCCAATCCGCCACTCTGTCGACACTTCAACTTCAGAGCAATTGCATTTCATCGACTGGCGCGGCCATGTTGGTTCGAACGCTCGGGTCACGACCTGTGCCAACCACGCTGGACTTGAGAAACAACACGTGGGACCACGACCAAGCGTTGAGGGAGATGGTGGACCAGCTGCCCTGTACACACGTCGTCGCCCTGCACACGAATTCGAGTACCGATTGTAGCCTCGATTGACGCGAACAACCAAGTCGTGCGTGCATGTTCGTGTCAAGGGTGTTAGTAAGTTTGGTTAGGGGTTCACTGTAATTCTACCACGTTGTTTGTGGTTGAGTCGTGTGTGTACGATATCACCGCGAAATCGATGTGTCATGAAAGCGTAGCACGGCGAGGTCATTTATACGTCCGTGGTGTGTTGCAACTACACCATTTTTCTATTGACTTGGGACTTTTTTCAACGTTGTTGGCTTGGCGCTCATTCGAAAGGGCGATGTGTCCATTCATTTGGCCTTGTGGCCAATAGAATTGACACATAGTGCCGCAACACCCTTTGAAATGTACCATGCTACCAATGGAAAAGGCTCCACTACCCAACAATGTGCCAAGTAGCATTTCGAATCTGCCGTGCTTGAAGTTGAGTTGGATCGAATATGAAATTTTATTATCAAATACGCGACGACATGAAAAAAGCAGATAAAATCATCGAAACTTGCAGCAAACAGCTACATGTCGACGTCCATGTCTTCCATTCGGTCCGCACGACCGTAGAAGTACTCCAGACGAGGGGATGCGCTTGTATTTCGTGCGTGGCTATGAACATGGCTAGTGTATCGTGAGCGATGACCTCGTACTGGTGTCTGTGGTGCAGCGCTCTCCATTGTTGCACGGAATGCGATTTTGAAAAGTGAAAAAAATGGGCGCGAAGATCGCCCGACTGCAACCTTCTAGAATAAACTCAACTTCAAGCACGGCAGATTCGAAATGCTACTTGGCACATTGTTGGGTAGTGGAGCCTTTTCCATTGGTAGCATGGTACATTTCAAAGGGTATTGCGGCACGACGTGTCAATTCTATTGGCCACAAGGCCAAATGAATGGACACATCGCCCTTTCGAATGAGCGCCAAGCCAACAACGTTGAAAAAAGTCCCAAGTCAATAGAAAAAAGGTGTAGTTACCTCGTCAGTACTTTACAAGTGTCAGTGAAATCGGATAAAAAACCCAGTACAGCTCCAAGCGGAACCTTGAAAACTCTAAACCCATACAGTTAATCAATGTACCCGACCACCTAGCGCTATGATGGCAACTGTGATTATTCGTACAGGGGGACGGAACCAGCATCGCTTTCATGTCCTTAACGATCCGTGTACTGGATACAGCCATTGCTGGGAGTGAAGAACTTAGAAGAGCGAAGAAATGTACAGTACTCGTCCCAAAACATGATCAACGATTCCATGTTGGACTCACAATGGCACCGATTCCTCCGCAGTCGCCAATGCCTGTTGTTCGCATCATAATTTATGAGTATTAGGATGTGAAATGGGAGTAACGTTACTGTACTATACAACGTGTGTAGTTGTAGAGCGCCCTTGCTTTCCACGTCCAGTACTAACGTTGGTACAGATCAAGTGTTGTAGGTATGGCATAGCTTTGAATCATTGGACAGAGCGACGACTACATGCCTAATCTTCTAATGAGTCATAAATAAGGCAAGCTGCACCAAAAAAAGTGCGATACTTCTCGATTTATGCGTGTCATCCTTGCGCAGGGGCCATGCTAATCTTCTCTGTATCGTTCCAATTTTTACGGATGACCCCCGAAGGGGTTCCTGATGTTCACCAAATGTTAGTTGTACCAGTCATGTCAATTCGTCCCGAGTTCGATCCCACGTGGATGCAAGTTGTTTTCGGATTTTACGGATAATATTGATAACATCCGGACACTCGGGACGCGCGCCTTTTTTCATTTGGCGATTTCCTGAAATGGCGCCACCGCGAAGCAAGGACGAGCTGTTAAATGGCGCCCTTGAAAGCAAGCGCCATCGGTCCAGGAGTCCTAGGCGTGGATCGCAGCAGCGACCTCGAAGTCGCTCGAGGAACAGGCACGGACGTCGCGAGGAAGATAGCCAGCATGGGGAGCAACGTCGTCGTGAGCGCGACTCGAGTGGCCCTCCCAGGGATCAACGTTCGAGTAACCGACAAGACTCTGACCGTGATGCCGGACGTACATCGGGACGTGATGAAGCAAGCCGACACGAAGACTCTCGTAGTCCTCGGAACAAGAATGCACGGCGAGCAGAGCCGCATCGCGGCGATGGAAAGGGTGACCCGAACTTGCCCGCCGTCAACGACGACCCGCGAGTGGGCACGGTGCTTCCATGTACGATCAAGGCGCTTAAAGGGAATACGGGTCGCAACACCGAGTCGTTTGATCCTGCGTCGACGTTGGTTCGTCCGTCGATGCGAGTTGTCGTCGGTCCCAAGAAGCGCGTGTTTGACAAAGTGTTGAAGCACGACGACGTGGTCGTGGTCCCCGACTTCTTCTGTGCCGAGGACGATTGGTCCATTTACTACAAGTTGATCGAAGAAATGCGATCGATTCAGTCGGCGGGGCAGTCCAAGTCGGAGTGGATTCCCTGGGCGGAAGGGTGCCACTTGATCTCGCAAAACCCCACAGGGTGCCCCACGTACGAGGACGTGTTGAAGCGGACGGGCGAGTACTTCAATATGAAACAAGGGTCCCAAGGCACGCGCTTCAACTGGTACCGCGACAGTTCGGACTGGAAGCCGTTCCATCACGACAGCGCCGCGTACAACCCGCATCGCGCGCGCAATCAAAATATCACGGTCGGTGTGTCATTTGGTTCGGAGCGCGAGTTGTCGTTCCTGCATGCCAAGAACGGGTCGCGCATTTACTTTCCACAGACGAATGGCATGCTGTTTGCGTTTGGCCGGGACGTCAACATTAATTGGAAGCACGGCGTGAATGCGCTGGCAAACGAGCACTTTAGCGGCAAAGGGCGGATTTCCATCATTTTGTGGGGACTCGCGCAAGATGTGGTCGAAGAACCAGACAGTCCGCCGTTGCTGACAAACGACGCGAGAAATGGCTTTGACAACTCGAATCATCGCAGCGACCAGCGTGGCGATCGCGGTCGCTCTTCGCACACCCCGTTCAATGATGGAACCCAACCGCGTCGTCGGTAGAGTATCACAAAGACGGTATGCAGTCATTACATGTATGAAATCTAGTACACAACTAGTACTCACGATTGTACTATCCAATATCAATGAAACGCTCGCCGTTTCATCCACAATGTTCGCGTCGGTTTAGCTTCGAAACATTGTACATAGTGCATTGACAGCATTTCTCCAAAACACACATGTCATGCTGTTCATGGCACGCGGTGTATTCGATGCTGGTGCTGGTTTCTATGGCGTTGAACGAAGCTACAGCACTGGACCCCAACCACCCAACAGACCCATGGGGATGGACAATGGTGCACACGTACATCACCGTGATCTTTGTTGGGATTTGTGTGCTGCTAGCATCGCTTGCCTACTGTCAAACTCGCGGGTACATTCGCAACTGCTGGAACAAGTCGGACGATGAGGCCAGCGACGCGTATGTGGACATGGGAGCTGCCAGCAAAAAAGCGTCAAGTGACCGCCTTGTGTGATGAAATAATCTCGACGAATAATAAAGGATTCACGTTAGTAGGATGTACATGGGGCAACTGGTGGTGGCAAGTAGCTGTAGTTGCGGCTAACGTTACTTGTACAACTTGCAAGTATTCTAAGGCTGGAGCGCTGGTTGGTCGACATGTTATCATGGACATTATCCTCGGTGCAAATGCATGCATTCGCACTGTCAGTCGATTAATCCTCTTTCTTATGCCATAGAAAGTTCCCAATGCTGTGCTGCATGTCGACTCTTCCAGACGGTGTAGATATGTACTTGACTGGACAATATCGTCGTCGGTGGTTGGTTGAGACTACTGTATGACCGTCCGCACTCACTACTCCAAGATCGGAATCGCGTGCCGAAACTTGTCGGGAGCGGCGTCGTTGAGGGCAGACCGACACACGACAAAGTGCCGCCACTTTTTGATGTCAAACATGTACAACTTGTGGTTCCATTCCAAAGAGATGACTCCCGCCATGAGCGCCGTGGACTTGTCCATGTAATACGTGCCGCACCAGATCCACCCCGACAGGTTGAGCACGTACTTGGCCTGCGACGACAGCAGTAGCGACGGGATGTCCAACGCGGTGTCAGTCTGGCGGATGTACTTTTCGACCACGAACGTCCCCACGACACTGGCCAAGCAGATGCCCATGGAGCTAAACACGTACGAGACCCGCCCGATCTCCACGACGCCGCTGTCACAATGTAGGGCATAGTCCATGTTGACGGCGGCGCACACGCGGTCGAGCTGGGCGTCGACGACGTTTGGTCTCAGTTGCATCCAAACCCACACGGCGAACGACGCCACCCACGCGCTCTTGCCAGCGTAGAACGACGTGTAGTGCTGCGTGACGCAACTGAAGGCGTCGTTCAGGACAAACACAAACCACTGCAGCTCCACCGACGCCAGCATCATATTGTACCACAATTGGGGGACCGACTCAAAACCGAGGACCCCCCCCGGTCTTCCAGCAGTAGCGTAGCCGTATTCAAGTACAGCATGGCGGAAATGCTGCGCGCAAACAGAAACGGCCGACCCGCCCACACGAGCCCCACGAGGCGGCTCATGCGGAAGATGTTGGCTTCTTCGACGTTGCCCCGCGCCGCGACGGCGTACGCAAACACGAAAAACGCCAGCACGCAGATGAGCACGGTCATGTACTGGACACACGTCCACAGCACGAGCGACAGGTCCGTGGGCACTTCCGAGGGCTTTGGAAGGAACGACTGCGCAGTGTACGATGCAGACACGGTCGTGATCGTACCAACATCGCCTTGAAATGACACGACTTCTCGTTGTCCTACTACCCAGTCGTACAAGTAGCACCAGCTAACGAATAGCCACGCACGATCGCTGTGTGTTTCATCGAGCAACTCGAGTCGAAACAACGACGGCTCGGTCGTGTTGACAATGAATTGAAGAAAGTCAACGCGTAGGGGACGCACGGCCTCGTACGCTTTCGTCATGGCTGCTTGCAGTGGGAAGAACGTGGCGTTGTACTTGGCGGAAAAGCGAAACGTCTCGGCGTACGAGCTGGCGCAGTCGCTTTCGGCATACGTGTCCATTGTGCAAAAGTCCACCAAGTCGGCCGGTGCAAGATGGTGGTTGGCATCAAAGGCCAACAATGCAAACAGGGCAAGGTACTCATCCGGCGCAAATTCCTCGACGCTGGACGTCTCGCAAGGCTTCGACGTGCTGAACCCCGTATACAATTGCGTTTCTTGGGGGGTCAGGGCCAGCATTGTCGGGTTGTCGTTGCCGCACATGAGGTCGCCCCCCGTGACGCGGATAGCTCCCCCAAGCCATTGAAAGGGGAACATTGTGATGTAGTTCTTGTGGGGAACGGCATCAAAGTCACTATGGGCGGTTTCGTCGTTGTAGATGAGCGTCGATAACGCGTCCACCAGAGCAATCGACGCGCGGCTCAATTCGTGCGGGCACGCCACGTAAACCATGTCCACAACTCCGAATGGCCCCACGGATGTCGTGAACTGAGCCAGTCCGCTGATGTATGGCGTCTGAAATGTGTAGTTGTCCGCGAGCAGCATTTCCCGGGTAACGTTGGCAAATGCAAACTCTGAACTCGAGCGAACGAGGCTGAGGCCAGTGACTTGGGTGACGTTACTTGATATGGCCCATAGGTCCCCTGCAAACCCCCAGTACATTTTGACGGAGGTGGGCTGCGCTGGCGTGAACTTTGTCAGTTTAGAATTCAGAGTGATGGGGTACTCAAACCCCAGTGCGTTCTTGATTCGAACCACGTCTGACATGCCCACAGAGCGCATGGATTGCCACTGCAGCACAAATTCCGTGATGTTATGGGTGTTTCTCCAGTACGCCACTTCCGTCGCCACTTCCCCCATCAACGACGAAGCGAGTTTGGTGCTGGCCAGCCAAGTCCGGCCAATCAGCGTCTGCACCAGCGTGAGCCCCACCCCCACGTGGAAAGCACTCCCCCAACAGGTTTCCCATTCACTCCACGATCGAAAATTCCTCAACACACCTTCCATGTACACGGCTCCGTTGGATCTCATACGTTGTTGGCACCGCGCTTGTCGCGCCGACGTCGCCGCCATCTCCCATTGCATGCCAAAGTCCACCCAGCAGTATTGCGTAAACATGTACGGCATCGCACACGGGTCCATGAGCCGAAGGTTTCCGATCACTTTGTCCAGGGGTTGCGTCTCGTACAGTTCTCGATGCCCGAGGGTATCGCTAAATACAATCATCGAGTTGACGGCCGAACCGTTGTTGGGACTAGTTGACGCCACCAGCGTCGCGGAGTTTAGAAGCAACACACCAGACCGCGTATTTAATGCGTGCAGGTTGATCACATTGGCCAGAAACACGTGGGTGTGCGCTGTACTGAATTCGGCCCAGTAAAAATCATTGCCAAGGATCGCCGCCGCGGTTTCCATGGCATACACGATGCTCCCAACAAGCGTACACAAAACGTAAAGCAGCACCACTACCGCCAGCAGTTTGGCCTTGATGGTTTTGTGAATGCTGTTGTTTTCAATCAGAAGTACGTCCACGAACGGACTGTGCGTAGGGAACGCCATGGTCAGCCGCGCTGGCTTGCGCAATTGTGTGCTTTTCGACGGGTTGCCAAGGGATCTGCGAATGGAATGCGGCAGTTTGAAGATCTTGATCATCGTTGCCGACTGCACTTTTGCAGACGTTCTGGTGGACGCGACGCCCGACCGACACGCGATCACGAGGCGCTCAAACGCATGGGGAAAGCGTAGCACAGGGTCGCACCGTTTGAACTCGAACTGGTCTGTTTGCATGAGCAACCACAGGTTGATGTCGAATAGATACACTTCGCTCCGCCACGAGAATCGCAGGATGCCGCACATGGCGAGACTGGCGCTGTCCAAGCTCCAAAAGCCAAGGCATCCCCCCGCTTCGTTCATGAATGCCATCACCGCCCCCGGTAAGAGGAGCGTGGGGGAGTACGACGCCACAGGGATGCGGTGGCACGCTCGCACGACAGACGCCGTCGCGACAATCGACATGACGTGGATGCATCCCAACACCAGCAAGCGTGATGGGTGGCCCACGGATAGCGTGCCACTGGAACACACAACGTTGGAACTGATGGCTGTGACTTCGCATTGTCGATCCATGGTCGTAACTAGCGACGGGGGAAATGCAACGTCCACGAAAACGTACATGGTCCACACCAGCAAGCAACTAGTTGGGGCATACAGCCGGGTATACGGAGTAGTCACATGGCACAGGAGTTCGTTGAGCACGTAGGTAACCCAGAGCGACTCACCAGACAACATCATCGATATCCACGCACTGCGACGGGTGTCGACCAGCACAGACAAGTCCCCGAAAGAGGACCGCGACGCCGGCGCGGTGGCTAGGCACAACATGGCGACGATCCCGCGCACGACGAGGAAGGGGCGGCCGATCCAGTTGGAACCTGCGACACGGTTGAACACAAACCAATTCCGCTGGAGCGAATGCTGTGAGGGCACCCACGTCGCAGAAGTCAGCAAAGCCACGAAGCCCAGCACCACCGACACGTACAAGGCGACCCACCACAGGTACGCCGCAAAGCTCTGCGTGATGCTTCTGTCGCTGATGGTCGACACTGCGGGGGAATACTGTCGTGAGATCAGGGTCAACGTCGCGATGTCTCCATGGAACGCCACCACTTCGCGGGACCCAGTGACCCACTCGTACACCATCATCCAACCAAACACACTCCATGGGTCGCCTTCGAGGATGGATGGCTGGGAAGCAATCTGCACATCGAAACCCGTATAAACGAACTGCATGATGCTGATGTTCATCGCCGCCGTGCGATCAATCACCATCAGGGTCGTGTTGGTGTTGGATAACGGTGCCAACACATCGAACACCATGCTGGACACACCAAAGAGGTGGTGGCACGGGTCTGAGCTGTCGCATAGGTTGGCCGCTTGGCTCCACGCAACAGCATCCACGAGTGTAGCTGCAAAGAGACTGGTGGTTGGGCTCCACACGACACTGAGCCGCTGGTCAACATCGCCATTGCATGGGTCGTCAAACCGGAACGACTCTTGAGCAAAGAGCGTGGGGTGTCCCCCTAAACAAAACAACGCACCCCCCGTAAAAGACAGCGCCGAATTTATCCACTGCTGGGGCGTGGGAAATACAGACCGGGGGGGCGTCGATTCAAACGCAAGCCGGAAACGGTTGTTGGATTGCATCAACGTATTCACTTGGGCCTCAAAGGACTCGACGTACAGTCGCAGGGCGGTTGGGACGTCGAGAAACTTCATGTCAATAGCCCCGAGAGGGCCTACCTGACTGGCCACGGCGGCCCTTCCGATATCAAAGTTGTTTTGGGCGATCAATTGTGTCATTTGCAATCGGTCCCATGCCCCAAACCAATTGGCGTGGTTACGCACGAGCGATTGGTTTTCCCCCAAGACGGTCATGCCAAAAAGCAGACTCGGGGCCATCGAGAATGACGTCCATGTGGCTTCTTGAACCTTTTCCGGCGCAAGGGTTTTGATTTGGATATGTCGGACGACCCCCACAGCGTTCTGAATCCCAAATGTTTCGCTGATGCCCGGTCGATGTCCATTGCTCCAGTTCAGCGTGAACGCCGTCAAGCTGTACGAGAGCCAGTACGTGGCTTCGTCGTCCACTGGAACCCACGAGTGTTGGAGCATATAGGTCATCCATTGCACGCCATGGGGGGTCGACTGCACGGCGTCGCCGATGCTTGACATGAACGGGCCATAGAACGTGTGCACCCACTCGACAAAGTCCACGTTGCGGTACACGGCTTCAAAGTACATGGCGGCGTTGTGTCGTTCTGTGGCATCACATCGCGCTTGCCGAGCGCGGGTAAACGCGAGTTCCCACCGCCGATTCAGGTCTACCCAGCAATACGGAATCGCCATCCCAGCAATGTCGATTGTGTCGACTTGGCGTATGGAGGTAATGGCGGGGGCGACGGCCGACACTTCGGTGTACAGAATTTTGCGTGCATATGTCGGGCTTACTAGGGTGGCGGTGGTGTCCAACGAAGCGCACAATGTGCCTGTTAATGTGACAGTAGTGGCAGAGCCGCCCAATATTGTGTCCAAGCGCATGTTGAGGAGGTCACTCAGGAGGATTTGAAGGCTGGACGACCGAAACGACGGCCAATACATGTTGTTGTCCATGTATTCCCTGAACGTGACCAGGGCGTAGATTCCCAGACACGCACTCGACAATACATACACCAAGCCACACACGTCTTGCAGGCGCTGCCATGAGGTTTGCCTCGTGTGTATTACCGTCTGGGACTCTGTGCGAGACGACATTGGTAGCGCCAAAGGTTCAGAAATGTAACTCTTAAGCAGCTACAGTATTTGTAACTGCTCTGGTCCATAATGAAACCGCAGTACGCGGAATCGAATGAATACCAATACTAGGTAATATTTTCCTTCGCGCTGTTGAACTCGAGTTGCGGTTGGGCTGACACCAACATTAGTTGAACGTCGTCGCCCTCAATGCAGCCACTTCGCGCCCGCCACTCGCATATTGTCGACTAGCCAATCCATCCCACGCAGAACCTTGTCGAGATTCCTGTCATGCATGCCAATCGGTGAATGAACACAAGTCACTCACTGCGACGATACAGTATGTCCATGTCGATTCCTGGCGCTAATTCAAGAGCCAAAGGGATAGCTGGGTCACCCTGCTCCTCCAATAACGGTATATTCAGAAGCGTATACTGTAGCTAGTCATTATTCTTTGCGTCTGTCAGTGGCAGTCACAAGGAATCGTTCGTCAGAGATGTAGGCACTGCCGACCAAGGCAAACACACTGACGCACATGTTCATCGGAAAATGAGGTACAAGTACTCTGCCTGGTCAAGTGCATTACACGTGATGCCATACAGTAAGACTTTGGGATGATGTTGATATTATTTCAGTCATCATAACTTGCAGTACAGTACACGACGACAATAATGATGAAACCGCCCATACAGGATCAAGAGTCGCGATGGGTCGCTGGACTACACTACTGTAGTCGAAGTTGGTTAATGGAGCTCGAAGAAGGTTCAATGATCCTGTGAGTATGTGGGTATGGACCAGGCATGAGACACGGTCGAGGCCATGGACGATGTAGAAGGCCACCTGATGGCGTCGCAAGTTGTTCGACCTCCATGAAGGATGAGGTTGGTAGAACAACAGGAGCGTGATTTTATTTAAACTTCGTCAATTCCAATACTCAACCCAAGTGAAACTGTGGCGGCAGAATAAAAAGCGTGCACGACCACACAGCACACATACGTTTTTTTGATCTGCCACTAGTATGTCGCACCCAACGCCACCGCCCGCGCCGACATCACCAGCACGTAAAGCCGCGCCCTCTCCTTCCAAGGCTGGCGCGCAACTGGTGTCTGCCACGCCGCCATTATCTCCAGCCAGATCTCCCGCCAAGTCTCCGGTCAGGTCGGCTGTGCCTACGCCAGGCTCGCCATTACACCGTGCGACGCAGTCCTTTGAATCGTTATACACGTTGGGAAGGCAATTGGGCGAAGGTATGCCATCTATCATCACATAAATGCATAGTTCCACGGGTCGACTCCACGACGTACGTAGGCAACTTTTCCATCGTGAAGGAGTGCAAGCTCAAGGCCACGGGCGAGACGTTCGCTGTCAAGTGCATCAAGAAGGCGTCACTGAAGAAGAAAGATCTGGCCAATATCCACCGCGAGATGGACATCTTGTTCAAACTCGACCACCCCAACATCGTCAAGCTGATCGACGTGTTTGACAACGAGGCCGGCGACATGTGCTACCTCGTCATGGAGCTCGTCACGGGCGGCGAACTCTTTGATCGAATCATAGCCAAGGACCATTACACAGAGAATGAGGCCAAGGTAAGCAGCATGCGTGGTCTCCATCTGCGTACCTATCCTCGTCACAATGTATGCATTAGGTCGTCGTGCGAACGGTCGCCAGTGTCCTCGTGTACTGCCATGCCCAAGGCATTGCCCACCGTGACCTCAAACCAGAGAACCTCCTCTATGCGACCACCGCAGACAACGCCACCATCAAGATTGCCGACTTTGGATTCGCCATCATCGCGGCCGAAGGCGTCGTCATGCAAACCATGTGCGGGACCCCGGGGTACTTTGCCCCAGAAGTGATTGCACATCGTCCGGTACGCACTCCCATGAGTGGTCGAGTCGGTTTCTAATGGCATCGTTAGTACGAACAAAAGTGCGACATTTGGAGCTTGGGGGTGATCACGTACATCTTGTTGTGTGGATTCCCTCCGTTTTACGACGAAAGCTCGGTCCAAGAGATGGAAAAGGTACCAACTGGCTGCCCTTGCCTTTCAAACATGGTTGAACCAACACTGAAGACAACGACCTACTGGTAGATTCGGCGGGCCGAATACGATTTCCCGTCGCCATACTTTGACGACATCTCAGACCTGGCCAAGGACTTTATCCGGAAGATGCTCGTCGTCGACGTCGAGTCCCGGCTCAGCGCCGACGACGTCCTCGCGCACCCGTGGCTCGTGGACGCCACCGCCAACCCGACGCAGGCCGAGCTGGACGCGATGCCGCAGCTCCGCCACGTCGGCACGAACCTCCAGAACCCCGGCGCCATCCGAGCCAAGTTCAAGCGGGGCATCAACGCCGTGATGGCGCTCAATAAGACGGGCCGCCTCGTCGCAACCAAGAAAGGAAAAGTCTAGGGACGTTCAACCTATACTAACGTGCCCAGTGTCAATGTCGTCGACGGGTTGTGAACGGTGGTGGAAAACATTCAAAGCATGGACGACGGATGGGTTTAGTATTTGGTGCTGGCGTTGGTGCTGTTATTGGAGCTATATGAGTCGAGGAGCTGGCGAACGCTATAAAGTAGGGACTGGGTGGCACATGTACAGTAGGCAAGTAAGGGCTTCACTACCTAAAGCAATGTCACGAGTGATGATGTTGAACTGTGTGCATTCGCTATACTAGTGGTAGTGTCAGCTACTCGTCAAAAGACAACTCCACGTGGCTCCACCGCTGTTGATATGTGTACAAGGGAACAACTGTTGGCTAGGCACTACAAATACTTGACACTTCAGCGAGGTGATGTTTTGTTTGGTCGACTGTCTTGTTTCATACTGATAATACTACGGTAGAGCGCATCCACAAACGATTCAGTCACGTAGCAGGGGGCACAATGCACTCGACAACTTCGTTCTTCTTGTGTAATCCAAGCACGCGCAGACATATGCACGCGTACGTGACGTCCATCTCGGAGGCGGACAGCAACGAACTCTCGCCCATGCGCACGAGCACTCGCTGGACAGCGTGCATGAACTCTGGCTCTTTGATCTTCTCCAGCACGACACACGGCTTTTTTTGCTGGGGGCCCAGATGCACGACCCCGTCGCTGCCCATGGCGGACAGCGGCATATCCACGGCGTCTCGTAGGTGCTTATCCACGGTCGTCTGTCGCGATTGGCGCCACGACGCCTTGGTTGCCGTGAGATTCAGCACTCGCGTCGCAACATGCAAGGCCACATGCGCTGCAAGGTTGAACATTGGCTGGTCTGTCCGGGTGGCAGGGGGTTTCCGACTGGACATCATCTTCCCTGTAAAGAACGCCGAGTAGCCGTCCCAGAGACAGCCGGGGTTCCGAAGCTGTTGCTCGCTGCGTCTTGTCATCTTGTCAAACGCGGCTTGCGCGGTCGGGAGCATGCGCGAGGCCAGGATGAGCTCGCCCAGACACGCGTCGGTGAACTCGTCGTTGTGCCGATCCAACGACGACAGCCACACCGTGGACGGGGACTCGATGCCGTAGACGAGCCCGGCGACGTCCGCCTCCAACACGTCGTCAAACAACGTCGTCAAGTGCGTCGCTCGCAGCTTCAAGTCGGTCGGGGCTGACGAGAGGGCCACCACGGCGTCCGCGAGATGTGGCGTGAACACTGTGACGCTGGACCGGTACCACGTCAATCCCGTGATGGCTTTAAACCCCGAGGTCTTGGGGTAGCCATAGAATTGCATCATGGCATCCCGCCATGGGTTGCTTCGAGGTGGAGACAGACTGGAAAATGCTGGCGTGGGTGCGTCCTCGGGCAGCAGGGGCAATCCCGTCGGGATGTGAAACTGCTTTTGGATCGCATCGATTGCTTGCATCACACCCACGTTCACGGAGTCGTTGTTGGACGAATCCGACTCGAGTAACGTCGCGATCGTAGTGATGGACGAGTTCCATGGCCACGGGTACCCCACCGCAGGGACCAACGGCACAGTTGTGGGCGGGCCAAAGTGGTGCATGGTGTAGCCAGGGTACGGCTGGTACAGCCGCGCGATGTTGTCGGTCACGTACAGGTACGGGCACCCTTGAAACTGCAGCGCAAGGCGCGGAATGGGACATTGTACCGGCGTGGGCACTGGGGTCGGGGCGTCCGTGATGTTGTAGTAGTCGCGGACTTGGTCAAATGTCATGAACGACAGCTTGAGCATCTCCATCTGGCGCGCCGCGTTGTTGTTGAACACCGTTTGGACTTTGTCTTTGAGCTTTGTCCACGCCGCCGACCAGTTGATTTCGCCCAAGCTGAAGTTGCGCACCTTGTCGATGATACGTCGTAGCCGCACCACGGCTTTGTCCATGAAGCGGCTCTTCATGGCCGACAGCGAATTGTCAAAATACTTGGATACAGCGTAAATAGGGTTGTCTTTCATGCGCATTTCCTTCATCTGCTCATCCAAGTTCGGCCATTTCACCACAACGATCTTCATATTGGTCACGCCTTCCACTGGCTGCAGCGTTTCGGCGTGCTTGGGAACGTACGGCGCATTGCCGGCTGACACCACCACCAGTGCAACGATGACCAATCCATGCCGCTGACGAGCTATCATCTCCAACGGAATTTGATCAATGTAGAGAGGTTCATATCCAGCATGCATGTTGCTTGGTGTTGAGGTTTCTTCATGGTCGCGTTGAAAATGGCTTTTACAGTACCGTGGTGCTGGCAGTTACTCGTGTAACTGTCCATCATTTATCAACCAAGTAAATACAAATTAAATGATCGTTCATGTTTAGGACGTGAAAACTGTGCATCTGTTCTGTTTATATCGCGCCAGTTTGGCTTCATGGACGAGCGAGCTATGGTCGGCATGCTTGCCGACATGGTGGCGTATTCAATCTCCGAAGATGACATCCAGCTTGTGCTGGTCGAGTGCGACGGTGACATGACCAAAGCGCTGGATGAGCTGCTCACTCTCAAGACGACACGGGAACTTGACGATGCAGAAAGCATGCCAGACACCCAACTCGACGGTCAGATGCAGTGGGAACTCTTCACAGCAGAGCTTGCCTCGTACGGCCTGGACGCTCACTCGTGCCACGAGCTTATCCAAGTGCTCAAGGAACAACGCGGGACGGGGAAGCTATTGTCGTCTGCGATCGTCCAGGAGTACGTCGGATTCCTCCTGCGTCTATTCAATCGTCCTTACTTCCGATGCGCACCATAATGATGCAGGCTGTTGGACTCCATGGACACGATTGATGAGCATCCGCTGCAAGACCTGACGAGCAGATTCCCCACGATACCAGTGGCCATCGTGCATGAAGTGTACGAGCACCACGAGTACGACGTCCAAGCGACGGCCAAGGCTTTGATCGAGACAAAGGCGCTGCTCAACGCTTCAGGGACGTTTGAAACGTTCAGCTACGCGTCCATTGCAACGCCCAGTGCGTCGAACAACGGCGCGCCGCCGCCACCACCGCCGCCAGTCAACTGCAAGCATGCGTTTCCAACGCTCACAAAGTTTCAACTCGGTACAGTATACCGTACACGGCTCGTACAGTATACCGTACACTGGTCGTAATCGAAGGCCGGGTGCTTCGTCTAGGCCCAGCAAACGAGGACACGTCCACGGTATGGCACAAGGCGTTGCATGGCCTTCCGACTGGACACCGAGGCACCCTCACGACGCGCATGAAGCTGGAGTTCCTTCAAACATCGTTCCCGTCCATTGACTCTGACATTCTTTGCCTAGTGCGTCCACATTGGTGTATTATCCTACAGTAATATGTAGTAAGTAGTACATTGACCGATGTTTGTAGGCTCTACTTGTGGGCAATTCGTCCGTGGTGGCCGCGGAGGCCATGCTCGAGTCGTCGTTTCCATCGGCCTGTCAAGCGCGTCCCGACCAAGTCGCGGTGTGTGCATGCTCTTGGCCATCCGTCTCTCACTCATTGATATTTTTTTCACGATTTTTTATAATTATTGTGACAAACACTATTGCAGGGCTTTTATAAACGGGCACCAATCTCTCCGATTGGTCAATTTGAAATTACTTGTCTCTGATTGGCTACAATATCGATTTGCATTTTTTCTACCGGAAAGGGCGAAGTGGATAGAAGCCAATCAGATGCATAACGTTATGTCGAATTTTACCTGTCTGTTGACAGAAAAAGTTTCAACTGGCCAACTGTCTAAAACCTTTTTTTTACCCACATGATATTCAAGCAATAGTTCATGGCGACCAGAGGGCCCATCAACATATTATTCTCGCTCCCGTTCGAAAAGGGAATTCTCGGTTAGCAGCAGCATTGAATGAATTAAAATCACTTATTTTATAATGCCAGCGAAATATTGTGCTTTTCAGTCAAATTTGCCTATTTCGGGGGATTGGTGAAATTGCCAATTATTCGAGCAAAGGAGTGTGATTGGCTAAAAATACAATGAATGTTGAATTTTGATTGGTTAACAAAGGTTACTTGATGCATTGCAGTCCCAAAGTTACCAGTTATATATGAAAGTTCGAAGGTCCGGTGATTGTTTGGCGGTTCATTCAAACAACCGCCAACGGAGGACATTTGGAGTACAACCACCATACTAGTATTATATATATATTTATAAATTTGACTTTGAACAAAAATCGAAATAAATTACTTTCTGTGGCATCCAGACTCGGCCTTGTTTTACGAGTTTAAGTCGGTTCTACTAAATTGCACTCCATTCCTTTAGGAGGTCGAACGCACCGAGTCGCATGCCCTCGAAGATGTGTCGAGTATGATAAATATATCTATACCCCATGTAGAGTTTATATTTCTTTCCGTGTTTATGCATGTGTAGACTCGTGGACAAGTGAGACGCAGCACGGGTTTGCCTACTACCAGCAGCTCACGACCGACTTACAAGAGCAGATCCAAGTAGTACATGCCGAAGCGCTTCGTAAATTTGCAGGCAAACACCAGCACTTCTTGGGCCGAGAGCGCACACATCGGTACACGACTTGTATAATCAATCATGCATCTGCCAACACAGCCATATATACATAGCCTGACGCAGATGCGCCACAAGCTGCAGGAAGCACGGGAGCATGCTGCGTATGCGTTTTTCAGCGAACATCAAGCCAGCCTCGTGGCAGGCGCGTGCGTCGATTTACATGGGCTGTACGTCCAAGAAGCGTACCAAGTGCTCGAGTACTGCGTGTCATTCTGCCGCGACCGCCGCATCTCCAAGTTTGAAGTCATCACGGGCGTGGGCAACCACTCCAAAGCGTCCAGAGGTGGCCGCATGTACACGACATTCCCCGCGGCCTTGCGTCGACGGGGTATTTCGTTCGAGCAACATGGCGGCAAGCTGACTGTGTACCCGTGTCAAGTTCAATCCTAAAAGCCATGTTCCAGTACTTTGATTATGACGACCTAGCTTGGTTGCAAGTGGGGTTTGCCCGGCTACTAACTTACTGTATGCTACTTCATACTTACTGGGAAGGACGGAGTAGTACAGTAGCTACGCTACAAGAGAAGTATGCGAACGACTGTACTAGTACGTAGTACATACTAGTACAGTACTGCCGTCGAACACCGGTGGTTAAAGCATTCAGCTGCTGCTAGGTGGCATCGTGTTATATGTGTACTAGCTAACGTTAGCTAGGTATTAGAAACAACAGATTTAGCCACGGCTATGTTTGCACTGAAACAGTCATGTGAAACTGCTGGCAGCATTTCGCTTGTGTGTGTACGATGAACAACAACGTGGAGAGCAACACCACCACCACCAACGTCGTCGGCACCCGGCACAAGAAGTTTAGCATCAAGCGATGGGTCAAGAAGACATGGGCCAAGCAGAAGCAGCAGCAGCGACGAAGCGCAGACGCCAACCAATTGAAGCGAACGCAGCGCCAGAAAGGCACGAAGAAGTCGGATGAAGAAGCCATCGGTGGCAGTGGCCCCGAGGTTGCCGATAGGTCGCATCCGTTGCGAAACGACAACAATAGTCATGACGAGGGTACTTCGATGCACGACGACGACTTGAACCCCCACGACAATAATCAAATGGACGTGGTACAACGCCAGATCTCCCACGCAGGACCTTACACCGAGTCGATTACGATTGAGAATCCTCTTTGCACCAATAAGACATCCCAGTACAGCTGTGACAAACCATCAGCAGCACCACAGCACCATCACGAGGTGGATGCTGCTCCAACCGATGTCACAGTAAGCTCGTACCGACCTCCATGTCCACCCGTTCGTTGTCTGAAGTAGCCGCGTCTGTGAGTAGTTCCAGCGTGAACGCATCGTCCGTGGCTCGAGTATTACCACCAACCACAGCCGCCCCATACCATCGCGACAAGCTCTTGTGAGCCAAATCAACCACGTAATACCGATGTCTTCTCATTCGTCATCACCGTCCTGCCGGTAGCTTCCCGTCGACCCGCGGGACTTTTTACGTGGCATCCAACGGGTACTGTATCCCATATCCTGCTGTCTAACGTTCGAGCTAAATGCGCTGATGGACTCAGCCACAACAAGGCAACCATACGCGCGTTGAAGTGTTGGCCAAACACTTGAGTCCCCAGGTTGGTTCGGTTTACACTATTCTGTTGCCCCTGGGATAAAGTCTCTGAAATGTCTCTCCATGTGGTTGGTAGTTTACGGGGCCGATTGCAAAGGTGCTGGGAGCGATGCAGATCGACGACGACGACGACGACAGTAGTAGCAGTAGTAGCGGCGACGCCGACGCGTGGAAGTAACAACGTGCGTGTGGTTTTGCTTTTGATAATTTACACTGGTACAAACTACGTACGTACGTGGTCGTCGGTCATGGCGAGTCGCGTCCTGTATCTCAGACGATAATGGCGCTCCAATCGGATGCCGGTCGAGGCGTGACCGCCTCGGGCGGGCTTGTTCGCTGCGGGGAACCTCGGACAGCTCGATAAACCATGCGCGGGTCCATCAACGCGGGGTTGCCAAATATGTCGTGGGTGTTGGCGTACTTGAGCAGGTCGTCGCGTGTGAACCGCGCGTCCAGCTTGTCGTGCGAGTACGTGTACGACCCCCCCTTCTCTGACAGCTTGGGGGCCACAGACCGCCATCCGCCGTGGTTGAACTGCTGCAGGACTTTGGTGCGGAAACTCACGTCCTTTGCAGGCGAGAGCAGCCGCGATTGGGTTTTCTCGACGACTTGGGGCGTCACATAGGACGATGATGGGGACGAAGCGTTGCTGGTGAGATGGCCCATCGCCGTGTTCAAGATGTCGTCCATGCCCACGTCGCGGCACGCAACACCAGGACGCGACGGCGTGTACTGGGTCTGCTCGGGCGACGGTACGTCGTCGCACACGGTGTCTTGGATGAACGACGCCATGGACTCGTCGGATTTGGCCTCGACGGGCGAGTTGGCGTTCATGATGGTTGAAATGAGCGCCGCGTTTGTTCGTCGCTTCTTTGGAGACGTCGAGCTGGAACCGCCTGTGATGGCATGCCACGGTCGCTTACCAGGCGACTCGAGCGACCAGTTGCACCCGTGCGAAGTACTTAGTTGGGTGGTGGTGGTGGTGGCGGCAGTGGGTGGTGGTGGTGTGCCCACGAGGTTGAGGATATCCATGAGGGATGACGACGTCATGGGCGATCCGTTGAGCTTGTCGTTGATGGAATCCAATTGAAGCTGGTTCTTGGTCTTGGGGGGAGAAATGCCGAGTGGGGGCGACTGGCTTTGTTCATACTTGATCATAGCAGGCAAACCTGTTTGTAGGGCAGAGCCCGGGACGACGGGGGACGCCGACTTGTGGATGGGTTTGATCTGTGTGGGGGTGGGGGCGGCAGCTGGACGCGATGGCTTGGACGTCGGCACCCCCTCTGCAACGCATGTCTGCTTTCTGTCGTTGTCCGCGGCTACTTTAGAGCTGTTTTGTTTCGTTGGCGTAGTAGAGGCTTCTTCTGGGGTTGGTTTTACGTGGGGCGTGGAAGGGGGCGACCGCTTCGCGGGCGATGCGAGGGCTTCCTTCTTGGGGGATTGGTTACGTGTCGCAGGGTCGGGATGGTGCTTTTTCACCACTGCAGACGACAGTTTGGTGGACAAGTTCTTCAAGTACAGCGCGCTCGTGGACGTGATGACCGTGTCGCAGGAATCCTGCTTGAACTTGGACGGCGACTTGGCTTTAGTCGGCGTCTTGGGTTTCGACGACTTGGTCGCCGGGATTTTGGAAGGGGGGGTCGAAGTCTTTCTAGGTGCCTTGGCCAATACGTGGTCGACACAGGGAGACGCCGCAGCACGAGAGCTTGCTTTGGATGTTCGCGGCGAGGCTTTCGCGTGAACGCTGGCAGCTCTGGGTGACTTTGAAGGCGATGCTTGTTCCATCTTCAACTTGGTTTGGGGGGACTTTCGTTTTGAAGGGGTCGTGGTTGGCGTGGATGCTTTTACATTCCGCGGCGATGTACGTGTGGGGGTGCTCGCAGCGGCGTCGGACGGAAGTTTGCGCGGCGTGGATGGCCGTTTTGGGGACTTCGCTTTCGACGGACTTGATTTGGATCGAGGGGTCGCCGGGGACTTCATGTGGACTTCGTCTAACGACAACCGCACAGAAATCGATCGCGTGATGCGAAGGGAAGGGCTGGATGGAGCAGCAGCTTCTGTCGTGTCGACCACTTCAGTACTTGACGGGATTACCTCACCTGCGACGGAATCGACTTTGACTGGTGCTGTTGATGCAGTATGCGCCTTGACGGATTCAACAACGAGTGCCTCTTGTGACGTGACAGTACCCACTGCATGGACGACCAGCTCGGACTTGGTAGGCATGTGCTCGTCGGAGATTTCTTCGACTGAAGGTGATCCATCAACCGAACCTGTTGCGGGACTGGTCTTGTGTCGCTTGACTGGGGAATCTTTTCGCGGCGACACAACTTGCTTTCGTTTGACATTGGTGACAATAGGTGCAAGGTACGCTTCGACGGCGTCGATGGTGGACTCGAACAGGTTGACGCTTGGTAGCAGTTCGTCCAGGTCGAGGTTGGGCATGACATACCATGGGGACTTTCCTTGACGATGAAGAAGTTTCCATCCCAAGGTCATTCGCATGTGGTCCCACAGGAAGGGCTGGATGTGTTCAAATGCTGTCGTGTTATGCAGCGCGAAGGTCACGGCTTCACCTTTCGTGCCAAACGCCGTCGCGTTCTTCTGGAACGCATCGACAGAGTCGATGTCAGGGCTGATGTAGCAGTACTTGGTCGCACTGAGCTCCATCTCTTCCCATCCTTGGAGCTCCAGGCCCTTCCATGCCGCGTCGGCCCATGCTTCGTCCATTTTGGTCGAGAATGCAAATGTCACTTGACATGGCGCCTGGAATTTGGCGCTCAATTCCACGTGTACTGTACGAAATCGTACAGTAGTACCGTACATTATTTCGGCCAACATATAGGAGTTTGTATGGTAAAAGTACGTGCAGTGGAATAACGTACATTGAACGTACCCAATGTACGTGTTTTGGCGGGCTTGTGAGTCGGCCACTCAATCGAATGGAGGAATCATAGGTCGAGAAGGAGAAAGCGACTGCCGCCGAGGCAACAGTACACTGTAAGATGGTGACGCAGTGAGAAGGAAACTCCCATATAGAGCATGCGTACACGCCGATGGACGTTCGACGAGTATGACATGTAGGTAGGTGGAGCGTAACGTTACTGGTCTTCGATCTCCTTTGCGACGTACACCCAGCAATCCATTCATTCATTCTGCATGGCAAGCAACACGCATTTCGTTACAACATTGCTTCGACTGCTACTACTGCGTCCTCACAACAAACTGGTACGCACGGTCGCCGCGGCGTCACGGACCAAGTCGACGTGCATGATGGCCTTGAACGCAAGGAATAAACAGAGGATAGGCAAGAGGACCAGGAACGACACGTTGCTCGCTTGGTTCAACGACTCGCCCACCACAGGAGCGTTATTATGGACGACAGTGACCGCCGCGGCATTCACTTTAGCGTCCGCGGCCGCCTTGGCCGTCCATGGAGCCACCCACTTGGCAATGTATTCGCGAATGAGTTCCTTTTGGTACTTTCGAGGGGCAGGATCAACCGAGCCGTCGCCGAGGTCGCCGCAATGGCCGCACAAATCGCATTTGGCCAAGTAGAACGGCTGATCCAACGACAAAGTGGACGTGACGGACGCTCGTTGCCACGGGTCGTCGCCAGCGTTGGCGTAAAAGATGTTGTGCCCTTTCGGTTTGTCCCCGCCGTAGCGCTGGATGTTGTCCGCCACGCCCGCCGACGGGTCCACAGCGTCTCCAAAGATGTCAAAGCATTGCTGTTCGTGGTAGTCCAAGTTGACAATAGACGACCGGAGGCTGCCGGCATGCGGCGCCACCTACACGCATCGTTCGATCAAGCTAATGATCACCTAGGTGTGTCGGAATGTTGCATGATTGTCGATCGAATGTGCAGCACCATATCGGCAGATAATCGATCGACCAATCAAAACCCAGAGCACAATTCAAGTGACCAATCATATTTCTCGCTTCAACCATGCACCATCGAATTCGTATATTATTAGTGTGAAACTTGTCAACTTTTCCATATAAAATTACAGAAGAAGCTTGAGCCAATCAGATTTCAGGAGACTGCAATCAACATCTAATTCGTGTGAAACTGAAATTAGAATGATTTCAATCGCCACAGGACCAATTTTTACATACAAAATATATCAGTACAACGAACGAATCGATCGATAGATTTGGCGATTGTCAGCTCAAAAGTCCACAGACAATCGATCGACCAATCAAAACCCAGAACACAAATCAAGTGGCCAATCATATTTCTCGCTTCAACCATGCAACATCGTATATTATTAGTCCGAAACTGGTCAACTTTTCCATTCAAAATCCAAACCACAATATATCGATCGATCGATGGAGTTGGCGAATAAACACGCACAAACGTTCAAATTGTTCAAAGAAATAAATCAATACTAGTAATAATACCTGGAAGTACGCCAACTGGGAACACTTTTGCCACCGCCACGACCGACCTTCGGGCCACCGGTCCACGTTCGACTTCAAGCATCCCGTGTCGTAAAAGCATCCAAAGCCAAACGCGTGGCCGTATTTCACCAGCGTGTAGTTGGCAAACGCCTACGACGACATTTTGAGGCTCAAATTGCTAGAGAAATGTTTGTGGATTCGGTCTAAATTTCCAGACGTCGAATCGAATCACGAATCGACGCTATTGGTTGATCCAGTTTTTTTAGTGGATTTGATTGGCTCTTACAGAAATGACAAGTAGATTTTCAACCAATCAGAACGCCAGCGTGATTCACATTTACAATAATAACATGGTACATTCGTACGTACGTGCGTCAATGACACGTTGGCCTTGACGGCCGCCAGCATCGGCCCGCACAGTTTGTCCTTGGTGCCATATTGCACGGCCATCGCCGCCGCATCCGCCAACATGTAGAAGAAGTCGGGGTCGCTCAATGCTTGTGCCCCCAGCAGCGCCTTGACTTGATGGCCGCGCCCAGCGGCGATTTCGCCTTCGTACGCCGACGTGATGCTGCGCAAGGCATCTGCACATTCCGCGCCGACCGATTCCGCCACCTAAAGAGAGAGTCAAGCACATGTGGACATGCACGGTCTAGATGGAGACACCCGTGTCCTACCTGTTCGTCGAACCCGTGAAAGTTGTAGATGGGGTTCACGACCCCCGACGATGAAATCGCCGCGACAGTTGCATTGGGGTACGCGATACGAAACCACGCAGAGAGCGCGCCAGGGTACGACCCACCCACGGCGATCCACGGGTTGGCTTTGGTCGTGAGTTCCGTCGTGTATGCGTGGATGAAGTGGTTCAGGTCGGCCAGCGCTTGTTCCACCGTCAGAAAGCGCAAGTTTTCCGTCGACAGATCGTTCTTGGGCGTGCTTTGGCCGTAGAATCGATGCTCCAACGCGACAACTTTGGCCTTGTGTTCCTTGGCGAGCACATCAACATATCCCTTGGGCATCTTGTCCATCGCGCCCTCGCCGCCAATGTACAGAATGATGGGGTTCCCGTCATGGTTGCCCCAATACGTGTCGTCGACGTAATATCGCTGCAAGAAGTGCAGCGGTGCCTCGGTCGTGAAGTGGTCCAGTTGTTGTTGAAACCATTGCGCTTTCGGGGACGCCGTCGCATCCAACGAGATGAACGAGTCCTTCACGAGGTCCGCGAAGAGTTCGCCACCTCGCGCATGTTGAGGGGGAAGGTGCATGCCGAACGCACCACTGCTGGCGAGAGCTGCTACCGCCACAGCCGCAAACTTGATCGCCATGATATGTTTGTTTCCTTCTTGATACCCGAGGTCAAAAGTCCAAGTGGCCGGACGTCAAGATGGATCTCGAACCAGATTGGCTCATTCATGTCCGGATAATTGCAGCTTCAAGTAGGATAAATCCTAGATTCAGTATCAGGAATAACTAACCGTAATATTTTCCGGATACGAGGACTATTTTAGGATATCTTGCCAAACTAGGAATAATCCTTGGCGTCATTCCCATCTACATTTGAAATAACAATGACGTCGACGATGTTGCGCATGGTACCTGGCCCAACGTCAATGACGGCGACCGTCCGACAAGCGTATGCCGACGACGTTGGGTCGCCAGATGTAGAGCTGGACGAGTTTGCATCGGACTATTTTGATCTCGAAGAGTCCCTCAAGCGCTTGTTGTCGTTTGATGGGTCGATTGCGATCGGATCGGGCGAAGGCATGGCGTGCTTGTGGGGTGCGTTGAAGAGCGTGCTACGTCCTGGTGACGTTGTTGTCAGTGGTGCTAACGGCATTTACGGACAGGTGCGCTGCGAGTTAGTCTCTGGCGCTTGTCTCCATGTTGATTCCCATACTCGTAGGGATTTGCAGACATGGCGAAAGGGCTTGGCGCCACTGTCGTGACTGTTGAAAGTCCATGGACGACAGGCATCGATCCCCAAGCAATCATCGCTGCCATCCACGAGCATAAACCACGACTTGTGACGATCGTGCACTGCGAAACTCCCACCGGTACGACACTACTTCAACCCGCCGTTCGTGCGGCAAACTCGTCCCTGCTTATAGGTATTTTGAATCCTCTGGATGGGATCGGGGCTGCATTGCGGGATGCGACCACGGACGGACTCTTCCTCGTGGACTTTGTTTCAAGCTCGTTTGCAGTTCCATTGAACGTCACCGCCGAACTCATCGACATTGGCCTACTAGCCCCGCAGAAAGCCTTGTCCGGACCTGCTGCGCTGGCAGGGACGACTGTCTCTGACCGTGCATGGAAGCGCGTATGTAGTACATTAAATCTGTTGTACTGTCGAAATGTGTCTAATATATTTGGTCAGATTTTGGACGTCAAGTACCAAGGCTACGATGCGTTGGCCCCATTTCACGGCTTAACCCGATCGGCGCCACTGTACACTCCGTACACACACAATTGGCCTGCGATTCGTGCGACGTTGCAAGCTTGTCGTGAGTTAGAGGCGGAAGGACTGTCCAACGTCATTCAAAGGCATGCTGCGGCCGCTGCAGCGTGCCAACAGTTGGCGACGGAGCTGGGACTCGCGCTGTATTGCCAAAACCTCCACGTAGGTTCTATCTCATCATTGTGATCAATGGATGCTGATGTTGAACACATGAGACACTCGCATAGTGGGCTGCGCCAACAGTCACGGCACTGCATGTGCCGTCGCACGTTGCATGGGACGACTTTGTCCAAGCGCTGAAGCGCGAACGCCTCATTTGCGGAGGGAATTACGGCGACTTAGCTGGAAAGGTGTTTCGCATCGGCCACATGGGGTCCCAAGGCAAGCCAGAGCTCGTGCGGCTGGCCATGGCATCGGTTTCTCGAGCATTGAAGTCGCTGAGTTAGCAAGGCGTATTTTCATTTCTATTGTCAATTCGAAGTTACGGATATAGAATAGAAACTCTTGCACTATCCGGAGGGTTTGTTGCTATTTCACGCGAAAATAGAAATTCTAAAGGACGTAATTTCTAAATAATCCGGATAATGCCAAAATAGCAACCGTAAAAACGAAGTTTGACTTGAAGTACTGTATGCTTGAGCAAAAGTAGGCTACTCCGGAGTAGAAATTACCGTCTCCATTGTGTTCATTTTAAATGAATCATTTATGTCCCATTTACTGGAAGTTTTAAACAATATAAATGAGTTGCTTATTTTGAAAACTCATTTATATTTATTCGTTTTTTCATGTTGACGCAGAGTTATCCGTATACTCCGCCAACGAACGGATAATCACAGGGAAAAGGCGAGCAGCATGGAGACACTTTTGCGGCAGACACGACAAATCGAGGTGCCGTCAAGAGGTTCCAGCGCGGCCAAGAAGGCGAAATCTACAGCGGTACCATGGTTGAACTGATGCCTTGGTGTACTATGTTTGGTTCTGTGAATGCTAGGATCCTTATGAGAACAAGTTGGTGGCATTCTATCGAGAAGAGGAAGACTGGTTGAGTGGGAACGAGTACTACGGCGCGACCATCCTTGTGGGGCTCGTGCAACGCAAGATGATCTCAAATCGTTTCACGTATCTCCTTCAATGGGTCCCATTGCCCGGTGATTGTCTGATGGCGTTTGATCCGACGAATACGATCCACGTCAACACCAACTTGATTAACTACGTCGAGTTGCATCCGAAAGTCGACCTGCTCACGCTGGCCCAGGGGCGCGAAATGTTTTACAGCTTGGGCATCCAGCATGTCGACCCGTCGATCATCGTCCGCAGCGCCATTTCCCCCGAGACTCAGCATTGGTCGGTCGAAATCCCATGGGAAGTCGAGGCGGACGCGCTGTATTGGGAACACGACGCCATGCACTTGCATGCGCAGCAGACGTCGAATCTCCAAGCGCCATCGATCCAACTGAAGCCATTGCAACCGACTTCCAACATGAACTATCCACCTCAACTACCTACCCTTCTTCCTCCATTGTCTAGCGACGCTCCCACCACCATGCAGTTAAGGACTCGAGACCACGCAACGCTGTTTGAGCATTCCGCGGTCGCCAGCTTTCTCAGGTACCTACCCTTGGCGCTATGGGCGGATGTATTGAGTGCAACCAACATCCATGGCTTGTCCACAGGTGCGTTCGATCGTGGTGTTATCTGATGGTTTATCATTCAAAATCTAATAACTTCATCATGGGGGGGGGTATCTATAGGCGCCATCACATCTGCGACGACGTTCAACATGGCCGAGCTGATGGCGTATTGGGGTATTCTCCTACACATGAGCGTCCACGCTAGACACGAGCGAGTATGTGACTATTGGGCTCACAAACCACCACCACCACCTCATACTACAACTAGCAGCAGCACACATCCCTTCCCCACATCTCAGAGCTCAGACGACGTCACAGCGTCGTTGGCGTCGTCGGGGGTATCGTACCCTCGCTTTGAACTCTTGCATCAGTGCCTTCGCTGCACAAAATTCCGCGAGCCGTCGGATGCGCTGTCGGCGCTCCGCCCTCTGGTGCGGACACTGCAACTCCAATGCGCTACAACGGTGGTGCCTGGTCGACATGTGTTTGTGGCCGTGGAGCTGCACGTCGTGGCGGACGGCAAGCCCGTGCAGGTCGTATCGTGTACGTCATCGTCGGGTGTGGTCATTGCGTTCAAAGTGGCCGTGGCGTCCTCCGCCCTCGTCCAGAACGTCGTGGAAGTCGTACACTCGTTGCACCATTCCCATCGCATTGTGCATGTGCACTCGCCCCTCATCAGCGTCGACCTTGTCGAGGCTCTTCGAACCCACGGACTGTACTGTCGAGGTAACGTGGCATATAGTCTTTCTTATACCCAAAATGTGGACTACTTTTATGCTGCTGAATCGCGAAATCTATCTATCGATATCTTCTTTGTACTGGTATATATTTTGTATGTAAAAAGGTGTCCTGTGGTGATTGATATGTCACACTAATTGAAGTCACACACTAATTTGACGTTGAGGATGGTTTCCTGCAATCGGATTGGCTACATCGATTTCTTCAGTCCATTTGGTTGTGTCGCGCTCCAGTTTAGAATACATTTACCTAAAATGTGGACTACTTTTGTGCTGAATCGCGAAATCTATCGATCGATTATTCTTTGTACTGATATATTTTGGTTGTAAAAAGGTGTCCTGTGGTGATTGATATGTCACACTAATTGAAGTCACACACTAATTTGACGTTGACGACGATGGTGTCCTGCAATCGGATTGGCTAAATCCTTCTGCCGATGATTCTTGTGTACATTGATTTGGTTGTGTCGATTCATTCTCCATATGTTGGTCCAGTTTAGAATAAACTCAAAACCATATATATCCATCTCTCAATATGCACTGTGTGGACGTGGCACTGATGTGATAGCTGTTGTAGCGTCGACATGTGTCCCCACGCGACTGTTTGATCCGGCGGCAGCACCCGTCGTCACAGCGTCGCATGAAACGCGGCCGACGATAGTGTGGGCACACACGAGGTCTGCATCGCCGAATCTGGTCGTCGCGACCGAGTGGCGGGCGAATCGGTTGAGTTTGGGGCTGTTGACCAATGTAGACACCCCTACGACCGGTCTGCTGCTGCCACCCATGGTCACGACGCACCTGTCAATGCAAAAACGTCGTCGCAGGCTGCGCGAATGGTGCTCGTTCGCTGCCAAACAAAGCACTTTCTCTGACGACTCTACTTCGTGGGCGCGTACGATGCTGCTATACTTGATGGACGTAGCGCGTGTGAATGCCTACCTTGTGCGGAACCATGTGCGTGAACAAGAAGAGTCTATGTGGGTATTCACGCGAGCGTTGTCAACCGAGCTCATCCGCGGCGACTGGCAGTACGCCCCGCCCGAGGGACGACCCCCTCCCCCGGTGCTGGAAGAGCCAGCGTCGCAGCTCCCCGCTGTCCTCCGTCCGTGCGTGCCCCGTCGGTCGCGCGATGTGTTTGCAATGAAGCGCCCGGGGGGCAAAGACACGCGATGCAAGACCCGGCAGTGCGTCGTGTGTCGATGGGAATCCACGTCGAAAAAGAAGAGTGTGACAGAAGTGACCGACTACTGCGACGTCCACGACGTGTGCCTGTGCAGCTGCGTGCGCCAAAACTACACCCCCGCCGCGTACATGTGTCCGACAGTGTCGTGGACGTGCTGGGAAAAGTTTCACCAGTTTTACTTGCCGCAGCAGCTGTTCGTCAAAGGTGCGCGCATCCAACGGCGCCATCCTCTGTACAAACTCCGCCATGCCAACAACAATACCAACACTAGCAATAACAAGCTGGTCGCATCTCGAGGGGCTGACGACGAAAACGAATCGGATGACGAACACTGGGAATCGACGACAAGGAACACTGGAATGGACGGCCAGGCTGCGAACACCACCAAACGGACGCCGACGCCGCCACCAAGTGCCGCAGACACATCGACGACACACATATCGGTTACGTCCACGTTGTTGAATGTGACGCTTCCACCATCCAAGACTCGATTGGAGAGCACGATATAACTTCTAACGTTATGTAACGTAAGTTCCAATTTCAGCGACATATTTTGGTAAGTTATCGCTGAAATGGGTTTTGACTTCTGAAAACTAAAGATAATTCAACAGGATTTCCCCCAGGACGCACTGAAATATCGATTTTCACAGTACCTATCATATCCTAATATGTCCCATTTTCCAAGCAAAACACCTCAAAAGTAGACGACAATTTAAGGGACATATTTTAAGCTTGATCGTAGTATTGATCCTTGCATATAGTTTTGGTGGTTAGGGTAGGCTATTCTGTCAGATACAACTCCAACAAAAAGTTATGTATTTATAGAGCCGATTGGTGAATTGACTTAATATAACACATGGGATCAAGGAGAACATTTATTTAAAGAGGTAATTAATTCTACACAAATGTCAAGGTCGGTGATTGGCTGAATCCGATGTCCCTTAAATTGTCCCATGTCTCTTAAATTGGAACTCTACCTCTACGGTACATAGTTCCGTATGTTTGGCGATTGGGGGAGCTTACTCGTCAGCCAATTCTAAACATGATTAACTACGGATTAGCCCACGCCATCCACAACAATGGCATACGTGGCGTGGACTAGTCAGCATGTCATGAATCGAAATATTGACAGAGGAGTAGGGTGCCCAATATTGAAAATCGGCATGACGATGAAACATTCGAAAACACACACCATTTCCAAGCGAATTTAAATAGACTTCAGAATAATAACTATTCCATCTGATAATGTGGGCGGGAATTTGCAGTCAAGTTCAAATGCCAGGAAAAGCACGTTCACGAACACTTGGACGCCGATGAAAAGGTGTTCACAAGTGCGCCAATACGCCCATATCGTACAACAGCGACTACGACGAGTCACCAGAACTATCGGCACGGTTGTGTGAAATATCGTTAACCTTATTATTGATTATTTTAAATATTTGCCCATGCGAAATGACTGCATTAAACTGTACGTGGCTGGCTACAAGAATTACTGCGAAGTACGAAGTGCTACGTAGTGATTTATACTTGACTTCGAATTTGATTGGATAGAATTCGATTGAAATGCCGTATACCGGTATTCGGACAAGACATGATTTGGGGCGTGTCACAAGGTGATTGTTGTTGAGGTTACCTTGGTTTATATGGGAATTTGTATGTAGGAGTATTCAAATTCAATTTTCAAAACGCTAATTTTGGACATTGAAGTGCCAACGGTATGGAGACCGCCAGGGTCTCGCGATCAGGGTCTGGCAAAACTACCTTGACAGGAAAGGTCAATACTAATGTCGGCGGCGACACCGAAGCTCGACATCCGTCGAGGAAACGCAGGCATTCAGCCAACGTGGCGGTAGAATCTGGTGTCCACGACGTGGACAACGCCGTGACGTTTGGCGAGATCGAAGCAGCGATGGGAAACTTGGGGTGGTCGTGGATACCTGTGGGGATCGCGTACATCTATGTGGCCCCGCATGCGTTTCGCCAGTGTACTGCCAAGACCTTTCGGACGTTCAAAGAAGGTGTAGACTACATCTACACCCAAGAACGATTCGAAGCGTATGTGCGGGACGATGCCGCGCTACTAGAAAAAGTCCGCTTGAACCTCCAAAACGCGAAGAAATCGCCTGTGCCTAAGGCTTTTATACAAGAAAAGGAACCCCCGTCCGATCCTTGGACGTCGATCCGCAAACCAAGCTCAACCGCGGCTTCCATACAATCATCCTCGCCGCCGTCCGACTTGGCATATGATGATTCTGACGACGAACCACTGAGTATCAAAGCCAGGGCGTTGCGACGTCGCCCTCGGTCACCGCCACCAACCACCGCAATGAACGACACCCCCATAACCGATGAACAGTCTGCAGCGACCATGTTGGCTGACGGCTCGCGGGCGCGAATAGTGGAGATTTTCCGACTCCTTGCCGATGATTGCGTCGACGATGCATGGGACGACGTCAAGTGGTTGCATGCTGTGACTACCACACAAGTCGATCCACCGCTGAACGATGTCGCACACGGAACAAAACGCAAGGTCGAGGCTTCCATAGCACGTCCAAACAACGTCCAGCGGCGAAACGACATCTCGAGCATCTCGACGTCCCCCAAACTGATGCCACCCTCCGACGCCACGGCAGCTATCCCCACGGACATACCATGTCCACATGCGGTATGACGTTGTCGTCGCATTGGGCACTTGATTTGACTACATGGGGCAAAATCCACGTAGGGGGAGGCTCACATGACCAGGCTGCTCGAGCGTTTAAGTGCTGAACCCCTGTGTGCGATCAAGGGGGATGTGGGGAGCCCTCTTTTGCATCGGGAGTCCGCTTGGCATCGACTCAAGCGGTTTGTGGACATTGGGCTCCGCTCCGAAAAGACGCGGACGTTGGTACTGCATGGCTGTGATGGCAGTGGCAAGACGTCGTTGCTTCGACAGTTGAAAGCGTATGCGATTCAAATGTACGACAATCAAATGGCCACCGTCCCTGACAGACCAGTGGAAGATGGCGCCTCGGGGTTCCCATCACCGCCACAACACTATAAACGTAAGCTCCATGTCGTCCATGCTTCCACCACACCACGCAACCACATGACGCCCGTCAAGAAGCCGACGACGACATCCCTTAATGGCGATGGCCACACGGCCGAGTATTTGTCCTCGGACGGATTGTTCGTCGACGTGGTCGCCGCCTTTCAAGTCGAGTTTGGCGACGTCTGTCGCTACGACTCATGGACGACCCCTGCCCGCGCAGTGTGGGACCAAGTATTGGACTCGTATCATGTCGTACAGACAAACACATCTCCCGTTTACATCGGCCGCATCATGTACGACGTTTCTCACTGATCTGGTCTATAAGGCTTATCCCATGATTGTAGCTTTCTGTTTGTGGACGGGTTGAACGTTTACTACCACGACCGTAACATCCTCCGGGACCTCTTCAAAGCCGTCCATGCCAAGCACAACAACGTCGTGCACATGATCGTGACGACTGCGGGACCCCCCGCGTCGTTGTTGACTGTGCTCAAGTCCCTTGACCTCCACCACCGCAATACGGTGGTGGCCCTGCCATCGCTCAACAGCGCCGCCCTCACCGAAATCTTGATGGACCGCCTTGGCCCTCCCGCAGTGGATGGCGTGGCCATTCGCGAGGACGCGGTCGCATTCGTGGGTCGATTGGTCGAGTTGGTCGGGGCTGGCAGTGTCAGCATCGCCTTGGCCGTCTGCCGGCGCACACTACTGCAAAAGTATGATGCCTTGACGTCAACCTACTTGGCTCAAGGAAACAACCACAGCGTCAAGTGCGATGTGCTTCAAGTGGGCGACATGGTGACATCTGCAAAGGAGCTGTTTGGAGGGGACGTCGTGACCGCTCGGTGGGTTCTCGCTGCGCTTCCGCGCGTGCCGCAGGTCAGTCACTCTTGTGTTTGATGAGTATGCGATACAGTATATAACTAGTCGACAAATACTGACTGACAGTGTAGCTGATTGTGTATGCGGCGGTGGTTGAATGCGGTGGCACACACGAAGGAGTGTACGATGCAAGACACGTCCATGCGATGTATAGCCGCCTAGTGGTAGACTACTCGTTGGATGACCATCTCGTGCGCAGCTCGTACGACTTGTTTCGACGAGAACTGGACTGGATGGTCGCGAACGACCTTGCCTCATGGAACGGCGATGTATTTACCCTATTTATCCCGCAAGACGAGGCCATGTCTTTCTTTCACGGGAATCTGTGGAAGAACGACGTGGGCCTCCAGTCAACGTCCAAGAAGCACAACACTGTGCGCGTGTGACTACAGTCTAGCTTATGTACCGGTACTGAGGAAGGTCGTTAGTGACTCAGACCAACACGTGCTATGATGGCCTGCCTACCTTGTTTTCTCGATGGTCGGAACGATCAGTGTGGTGTTTAGAAGTCGACGCTGCCAACTGTGCTAGAGTGGGAAATATGTTCTACTACAGTGCTTAAAATAGTACGACTTGGAAACCTACTGCAATCAAAGTACTTCGAAGTACATGTATACAGTGTCCGTACAGTCGAGGTAATATGGCTCTGAGGCACAACTGATATTACTGTGTTTGGGCTGTGATAAAGATGATACTACTCTGGTCCGTAATGACTGTCCACTTTACCGTTTTATTGGCGGAATTTTTCTAAAACTGCATTGCTGCCTACGCTGATTGGACAGATCGACGGCGCGTTATCTTGGCTTTGATTGGTGCTTTTAACCACTCAAATCCGAGTTTTCGTCGCCGAGATATCGCTACTTACACTCAACGACCACGGCGGGAAAAACACGAAAACTTACGCCAGT